CAATTGCTACGTATAACAATTTTCTACAAACGGTAGTTTTAACTGAAAAAATCGAGTTGCCTTAGCAATATCGTATTGCATGGGAAATGTCGATAAATTCAATTACTCGCAATAACACAATCCGAAATTGTTTTAATAAACTTCGAAAATTATTATTTATGCACTAAAAATAAAAAATATTTTTCAGGTTTCTTGGATGCTTTTAAACTAAAAAAAAAAACTCTTGTAACTTTTTATAAAATTCAATGTTTTTTGATATTTTCATTACTTAATGTTCGAAAAAATTTAGAAATGGTCATTTTTATCTATGAAGAACGACACCAAAAATCAAACTTTTTAATGTTGTCAAAGTTTTTTAAATGTTTTGTTTAACCCTTCCAAAAGCATTTTAGAGAATTATTTTTTTATTATCCTTTGATCTTTGTTGATGACGCAGGCACTTTAGAGCTACTGAAAGGTACACATAATTATCAACGAGAGACGGGGATCTGTAGATACTTTTAAATAGTTTGAGAGTTCCAAAGTGAGCAACAGAGAGTTAAAATAAAACAATGACCTAAAAAGCTTAAAAAAAAAATGTTGAGGTTGTTTACAAAATATTTAAGAACTTCAACATCATTAAAACTGTAAATATTTTGTTTTTTTATTTATTAATTAAAATGCCATTTCCCTTTTTTTTTTAACATTAAACAATTACAATTTTGAAAAAAATACCCCCACGCAAAAAAGTTGTGAAAATCAAGTAACAAGTTATACTTCTTTAAAATTAAATGGGAGATAATATAATTATAAATATAAATATACCGCCTATGAAACGAGACTGTGTACAAAGGCGGTGCAATTATCGTTGGAATGAGTATACCTCCGTTAGTTCGGTGTGGTTTCAATAAATATTTTAATATCTAATAACAGCCAATTATAAACGATATTTTATGGCACAATACAATATAAACAATATGGCGGCTGGCCAGTACAAGACTGTACACTTTCATCGAATGTTTCGATGGTTTCAAAACAACTTCTTATATAAGAAAATAAGAAATATCCTTAAAAAATAGCAGATCGCCTAACTGTACTCTTTTTTACACGTTTAATTAAAAAAATTTGCAATTTAATACGTAACCTTATTGAAAAATCACTTAAAATTGCATTTATAAGATCTGTATTAATCTCCTAAATTTTGTTTGTATAAAATATTACTATTAGATAAACCTGTTTTATTTTGAAATAGATCTGTAATTTTTTTTTTTCTTTTCTTAATAACACAAAAAAAAAAGGGGTTAAGTACACGTATAAGCGTGTATGTAAGTACGTCCATATAAGAGAAACAATTTCTACCGTTGCTACATAAATTTGTGCTCATCCCACCTTTCTTAATTTCGAGCTGAACGTTTCCCCTTATTAACTATTTAATGAACGTTCTTAAGTCTAAAAATTACCTTAAACCCAAAGGAAAAATTGTGAAAGAAGAAAACGCAATAAAAATCAATTATTGTATTAGTACAGTACAAAAAAAAATTTTTTTTTATTTTTCAAAGTTTTGAAAAAATTGTATAATAAATTTATTCACTTTAAAAGTAACAAATTAATGATCCGTCAGCCACGGGACACGATAAAACGAGAGAAACCAAATAAACTAATACACAGTAAATAACGATTTACATTAAAAATAAACAATGAACTGCACGACAAGGTGAAGTAATTGAATCCCTTATACCGGGCACGTTCATAAGAATGAGTAAGGGTCTCAGCCAGCATGCAAGAGGTCAGAGGCTCAAATCTTATCGGAAACTGTTTTTTTTTTTTTTTTTTTTTTTACGTACTTTTATTAACAGAGTACGGAAGTACGTCAAGAGGGGTGAGGCGAAGGGGGAGAATGAACCAAAATCCACTTCCGTTACACTTTTTCTCAAGGTCACCAATCTGAAATCGTTGATTTACTTCCTAGGGCAGAACGCGCCTGTAGAAGTATAACTTCAAAAAACTTTTTGTTTAAAACCGTCTAAAAAACTTCTTAAGTCTTTTTTAAAGTAGAGGGTAAAAAATTTAGAAGAGTTTTTTTTAATTTGTTTCAAAAATACATAAATTTGTTTTTAGAGGTTAATTTTGTACATGAATATGCAAAAACCAAATCCAAGTATTTCTTCAACGAATCACAGGTTACGACCTAGTCAAGTTTTGAAAGTCCCTGTAGGCAACTTTGCTTCTCTTGTTACTGTTACACATGTAAGAACTGTAAGGACCCGTCTGAAGCTACAAGATTTGTTACAGAAAAAAATATTATGATGGCGTTGATGTCAATAATCAATATTTGTGTTTACTTAAGAAATGGACGAGTTTTAACGTAAAGCTCTATACGACGAAACGCTAGTTAGATTAAATATAAAGAAATACGAATAACCTACTTTTCTCCCTATTCTAGCCGAAAATACGTATATATAATCAAAAAGAGTAGAAATCTTCTCGGCTTCGCCTCGGCCGTCATAACCCATAAATTCCAACTTTCCGGCCTAGTGTCGTAATCTACTATTTCATCACTTCGATCATCATCTATTTCAAATAATGATTAAGTAAGTTGTATTTTCGGTTTAACATATAAACTATCATTCAATCTATACTTTAGCATACATATTTGTTTTAAATGGTCTTACAGAAAACATCGTGTATAGAGCGAGATATCATTATTTGCTAATATGGATTTTAAACCACATTTATTTTATTATTTCAGATAAATAAAGTTCATAAATATGCACTTTAAGGAAAGATATTTTATCTTTATTTTTTCATAACAAATGAATAAACAATTGAACAATAAGTTTAAAACAGTAGTTCTTAATACGTCGTTCTGCTTTATCAAGTTAAAAAAATCGTCTAAATAGTATTATAAATCAAGGAAGTACAAAGATTTTTTTAGACGGGTGATTTTTAATTTACTTGACTAAAAACGTCAACGTAAACAGCTGAGGGTGGGAGTTAAAGCCTCATCTAAAGTATGCATGATGTGTAAAAACTATGACACCTTTTAACAATTAAATTTAGTACTTCAATTTATATGAGAGTTTATCTTAGTTTGGTAACACATTACAGTTTTTGTTTTCTTGTAGGCTTGCTTTGTAATAGTAAAAAATTAGGTTTTCATAGAAATATGTTGCTAACGTTTTTTATAATGTCTACTTTTAGTGCGTGTTTGTGTACGTGTATGAATATGTGTGTGTAATTAGTCATATCTTAGGAACCCAAGGACCGATTTTAATGTTTAAGGGCTTCAAATCTTTCTTTTTCAATACTTGTAGCAGCTCGAGAAAAATTCCAGATTTATACCTTATTAAGGTCATTATAACGATTTTAGATAGTTAAAAATTGGTTTCTCGCTTTAATAAGTGCAAAAAGTTTATTATGCAAAGTTTACAATGATGTTATTTAATAGTAAATAAAAACACTTTTATTTCGTACTTTTTAGGGTTTTGGTAAGTTATTTTGATCGGTTTTTATTAAAAAAATAATTAAACATTCAAAAAAAATTGTGCCTCCAGAGTGAATTCACATGTTCTAGAAACTTAGGACCACAAATTGATTTTTCTATATCTTTTTAGTGTTCTTGAAAAAAAACTTTAGTTTTATACCTTAGTATGGTCGTCTTAAGGTAGTTGAAGCTTTAAATTGGTAAAAAATAATGTTTTCGTGGAAATATGTAATAAATGTTTTATATGGTGTCTAAAGTAAAAAACACAATTGTTACAAAAAGTCTGTCTGTCTCTGTGGGTGTATGTGTGGGTATGTATGTGTACATGTTATCAGTCATATATCAGGATCCCAACGACCGATTTTAATGTTCTAGGGCTTTAAAATTTTTTTTTTCAATTCTTCATAGCTGCTGAAAAAAAAATTTAAGCTTAATACTTAAAATTACATTTTCAATCATTTGTTTAAAATTAATAGCAAGATAATACAGCGTGAGGAAGCTCTTTGCTGATTTATTGGCAGCGGTTTTTAATCTTAAGAAAAATTTGAGCTATCAGAATATAATACTTTTTTTTTCAATTCTTCATAGCTGCTGAAAAAAAAATTTAAGCTTAATACTTAAAATTACATTTTCAATCATTTGTTTAAAATTAATAGCAAGATGCAACTTGAAAAATTTTTAACATATGAATTCATTCTTAAGAAATTTATAAATACTTTTTATTTTTTCATTATAGTAAGCTTAGTAAGACACTCAGATGTATTTTTATACTAATATTTAGAAATTCCCAACCATGTGAAAAAATAATAAAGTTTTTTCGAATTTTTTTAACAATAATTTACACATCTCCATGATATAAGCTGAAATATAATTGATTTTACAATACTGACTGACAGCTATTAACATTTAAATTTATGTTAGGCTTAAGAACTAAGGGTTTAGCAATATTTTTTCACAAAGCAGTTAGTTAAAAAATGTTTGCTAGAATTTAAAAACGGAGGTAGTTGTCAGATATGTTATTTAAAAAATAAATTGATTAACCTATACGAGTATGTGTAAAGAATCGCAGTCAGCGGTTTTTCTATTTCCATCGACCTATACAGGCGAAAGCGAAATTTCTCTCCAATAGCTTCTCTTCCACTCGCTTTCGACTTGGCTTAATACACGTATATTATTTATTTCTTTATTTCTCTTTGCTTAGGGTATATAAGGTATAGCTATCGTAACTCCACTCCACTCTTTCTCCAGTTTAGTTGGTGTTCTGCACCGTAGCCACGGGTAGCTCACCTCAAACATCAAGAGGGAAGAGCCCAGTGTGGGGCAGAGTGCATTGGGATTGGTTGGATAGCAAGCACTCTATCACCCAGTCCCTCGTCCCCTTGTGAACAAAGCAAAGGCTACGTCACGTAAATCGTGCGCCTAGCTTTCCACGCATGCTTGAAAGAAGGGGAAGGATATGAAGAGTGGGAAACGCTGAGCTAGAGGCTAGATACTCGAGCGACTGCTAGTGCTTGCTAACAAAAAGTCGTGGGTCGTTAGTGGGTGCGGTTCCGTCAGCCACGGGACACGATAAAACGAGAGAAAGTGTGTAGGTATATGAGGAGTAGTGTGTGTGAGGTAGTTACTAATCGTCCTTTGTTTTGTACCTACTTTAAGTGTGTCTTTTAACGCAGTGTTAAATACATTTAGTGCAACAGTGTTATAAGTACACAACAATATTTCTGTGTATGTCTCTGATCCTATTTTTGGAGTATTTCGTAGGATTATAGCGTCAATTCAGAGCTCACTCACGCTCTTGGAAGATCATAATTAAATAGCGAAAATTTCAAGCTGATTGGAAGAGGTAAAATAGTAGGCTTGGAATACGTGCCAGTATAAAGGGGTCAGCGTTGGTGTTACATTGGTTAAATTTTTTATACTATCTTCCTATCTTCGTCTTAAATAGCGTTGGCTTCGTTGACGAGTCAATATTTCCTCAACCCTCTATGAAGCTTGATTCAGCAGCGCAGCTGCAAACATACACCACTATACGAACGACGTGGCGTCGCCATCTTGTCTGGTAGCGTCCTTTCGTAAAGTGCGATCCAACATTCGACGACACAAGCATTGTTGCCGAACTGTCACTAGGCTGGCTAAGCTGACTACCCAGCACTACTTCGTAGTCGTGGAGTTTTTACGTTGTAGTTTTTACGACGAGTGGTCGAAAAAAGAGTATCCACTCAAGGTTGCACAAAGGGAACTTTGACGACGACGACGCCTGAGTAAAAAGCAGCAGTATCGAGGTCGTACCGTTCGCGGTTGCCATTTTGTCCTCATCCACGAAGTTTGGTGATAAAAATATAAAGCTAGCGTGCTAAATAAATAAATCAAGCACGAAGCAATAAGACGATTATTATAATGAGATTAGAAATCGTATCAGCGGCAGACTTTCTCGTGCAGCTGCTTCGGCTTCAGACTGGACAGCTGTCTGAGATCCAGCTCCAATCGTTCAAGGCCTCGCTTACGGAGCTGCTTAGACGCCGTTACCGTGATCACTGGTTTCCGGATAAGCCAAATCGTGGTAGTGGCTATCGCTGTATTCGCATAAATAGCAAAATGGATCCCGTAATTGCCCAGGCTGGCATCAAAGTCGGTCTTGTACCCAACCTCCTGCACAGCCTTTTTCCAAGCGAGCTCACGATGTGGATTGATCCAGCCGAGGTGTCCTACAGGATCGGTGAGAACGGCTCCATCTGCGTTCTCTTTGAAGGTACGCCTGAGCCGCCACAGCAGCAAGCCAACAGTAACTCAGCAAGCCCGCAACAACAGCAGCATCACCATCACCACTACCATCAGCAGCAGCAGTCGTCATTTGAGCAGACATGTAAGGAGTCGTTACTAATGGAACACATAACATTCAACGAGCAGATTGCGGCTTATGTATCGAGTTGAAGGAGCCGTCGCACGAGGATCGCTGCCCTGGCTCACGGACGCTAAGGCGTGTTAAACGCGAGCTATTTCAATAACTGATACTACCAGCGCCACGCCTACTTTATCCTTGTTGTCACTTCTGCTGAATGATTGATGGAATTATTAATTAATTGATCTCTTGTGATGATGATGGTAATAACGATGATAAAATATATATTGAATTGTAATTAGTGGATGACTGTGACTACTAAATGCAGGAAAAGACACAGTGTGTTCTGGTTCTGCATTTACAAACAACACTACCGCATTATGACTATTGATACACAATTATTATTTTCTATTGCTTTTCTATGTATAAGTTTTTAAAATTATTTTATTTAATTTGTGGATTTAGACACGTACGTGCCCATGCACACACACACACACACACAAACATATTTTTTAAGGTCTGCAGCTGTGTATTTAGTGTGCATTGTACAGCGTGACTCACTCACCTATATGATCATCCGAGTCATCCGCATTGTGTGACTTATTTTCTTAAAAAATTTTCCGTACTGAGCAATACTTACGGACACAATATTGTTTTGGACACAAAAATAAAATTAATAGAAAATAGAAACATATCTCTACTGTATTTACTGGAAGAATCCATACTTTCTGAGTAATCCAATCCATCTGCAAAGTGAAAATAATTATTTTTTTTCGGTACACCTAAGTGTTGATTAGTATCATATATTGCAGCCAAAAATTTTAAGACAGAAGAAAGAGAAAAAGTCTTGTCAAAATGTGAGAAATATGTCAAGGGAAAAAGGGATAAACAATATTGGTCCTTTTTTTTTGGCTGGAATGTCACGAAGGGAAACTGATTCATTTTCGTCGGGATCACGCAATCTTCGAACAACCGTCTTTATGCATCAATGAGGCTCCAGCGGCACTCTGCCTCTACAACCAACCTATTTTATCACTAACCAATGCTGTATACTACTTATCATTGAATGCGTGCCAGCCTAACCAAGGTTTGATCCATATACGTTGCTACCGAGAAAAGAAATGGCAAACGATAAGGACATAATAAGGCTAGCTATTTGTAGTACTACTCATTATTATTTGTTTTATCGCCGTACGTGATATGAAATAAGAAGATGTAAAAGAATAAATGGATGGTGTGAATGCCAAGTTCATAAATGAGTCTTTTTTCACTTCAAGCTAAAAGAGACGAGGCTATTTACGCAGACTTTCAAGATTGAGAAGAAGAACAGTGTCATACACCGCAGAATTGTAAACAAAGAAGAGGCTTTTCGTTAACTTCGTTATGTAAACAACAGCACAAGTTTCATCCTCACTCGTACATAATACGCACTCAGACTGTCTATATACTTACTTATTATATTTGACTTACACGCGTGAGTGCATAATGTTCATAAATGATATATTTCGACAAACGTCTTGTTATTTGCCTAGAATACAAAAACTTAGAAAATAGTACATAAAGTACAACCAACTGTGGCTACGTACATTTTGTACGCTAGTATGTCACTAAAAGTTGAAAGTTTTTTTGCTGGTTACAGCAGTATCACTTTTAATGACATAATTTTGCATTTCAACGGCCGCACAGGAGAAATTTTAGTACCTGCTATTAAGTACGTTCACTGGTAATAACATTTGACGAGTTTTATGATAATATAAATAATAATTCTCATTTCTTGTAAATATTACAAAATTATTCTAAAACGTTGAAGTTATTTGATGAATATGTCCATACATTGTAACAGTTGATTTTTTTGCTAAGGGTAAAAACAAAATTTTGATTTTGATATTTGCAAACATAAAAAAATAAAAATACAATATCTGGAAACTGTAAAATATCTCGAATTAATTATCATGCGATTAAGGTTGTATAAAATGTTTTTTAGTATCCTGTGTAACAAAAAAAGTTGTGTGTGTGTGTGTGTGTTCGCGTGCTCGCGTGTGAGTACGTGTGCCAATTAGGCTATGTATAGATGGAGTCTTGAACTTTCAGGACTAGTTGTATTCCCGTTGTGCGAGAGAAAAATCATATTATAAGTTCATGTTTCTCACTTCTACAAACACGTACTTGTAGATAATGGTCCAAGTTCAAGACTTAACATATACACACCTTTACTAACCAATCTCCACCCACCATGTCACACGATACTGAAGTAAAGCTAGTAAGTACTATAAATCTGAGTTCTCATTGAACTGCAAGTGTGTCTGCGTAAAAAATGGCGGTTCTTTCAACGAGATAAACGACGTTTGAACAGTTCTTATGTGATAGACGAGAATGTAAAAATCATAATAGTGCAGCTGGCAAATCGACTCTTAAAGTCAAAAGTATAAAATCAAGTACAACTATATTCGTTACTTTATTTATTAAAATCTCCAGCATCAGCTAATTTTTTCCTGAAGCATCGAAATACTATGAATACGGATCAGATCTTAACTTTATTTTAGTAAATACTGTCACACTATTTATAGTTTAAGAACCCACCTTAAAAGTAGAAAATTAAAGACCAACAGTCAAAGAATTCGGAGTTGCGTGAATTCAATAATGTTAAGAGGATTGTGACTGTACAGGATATTTAAAAAAAAAATCTTTGTTAAAAAGTCTTCTTAGTTTCAATAGTCTCAAAAAATAATATTAAACGTTTCATATAACAGTGCAGAATATTGTTAACACTCAAATAAATACAGAGTACCGCTTCAAAATCAAACAAATGTAAATGTTTTATTCTTACATGCAAAACGTACGATGGTAGCCCACCTGAAAAAAAATGTCGGAATTCTATGTAGAATTACTTCTGTAAAACTTTCAGGAAAGCCATATGGTATTACACATGGTTTTACATGTGGCATTACGTAAAGGGTTTTAGCTTGGTGATGCCATATGTAATTCTATATGGAAAAACACATGAAATTACTAATTGGAAAAAGAAAAAATTTCTATCATCTAGAAATAACTGCAAAATACCATAATAAGTTATTTACAGTTAACAATTTGTCTTATCATCGGGATGATAACTCCAAAACAAGGACTTCTATAGACAAAAATTTTTTTTTTATCTTTTTTTTTTCATTCCTGAAATATAACTTGAATTCCCTTGTTTTCAAGTTATCATCTAGATGGTAACACTACTTGTACACAGTAAACGACGCATTACAGTATTCTGCAGTTATTTCTAGATGACAAAATTTTTTTCCTTTTTCCAATTTGTAATTCTATGTGTTTTTTCAAATGAAATTACATATGGCATTACCAAGCTAAAACCCCTTATGTAATGCCATACGTAAAACCATATAAAACCATATGTAATGCCACATGGCCTTCCTGAAGGTATTACAGAAGTAATCACACATGGAATTCCGTCTTTCTTTTTCAGGTGGGAGGTAATAGCTTCATGCTTAAATTTTTAATCATTAGATTTTCAAAACTGCAGGGCCTGACTTTCTCGAATCTTAATGTTGCATAATTATATAATTATAATGAAAAATAATACTTAAGTCTTATAAAACTTTCTTGTTAAATTGTGAAAGAAATAATAAAAATATAGTGCTTCGCAGTGCCAGACTCCCAAGAGCGTTATACGGATAAGCAACTAACTTTGCAATTCAATTTCTTAGAAATTGTGTAGCTAATCATTATTATAATTTAATATATTATAAATGGTACTGAAATTTAGTTATATGATTTTTTATAAGGAATTCTTAAATAAAACTCCAAAAAATTCCTTTACATTAACAAGTGCTGGGGGAAGGGGTAAAGTTAGGCTGAAGCCAAAAGGAAGATACGATTTTCAAAAAGTGAAAAAATCCCGTCACTCATTTAAATAACGCTCAACATAATAACATAAGCCCTGATGATGACAAACTTTTTTCTTGTCGTTTTCGATAAAATGAGATTGCAAAGCTGAAGTGAGGTTGAAAGTCAGGCAACGTTTATCGCTCAAAAATCAAGTTTGAGAGTTCCAATAGCCATGTACATAAATAAATAATTTTACTCAGTGAGCTAAGATTTTTTGCTTCGTGTGTTGTGATTTGTTAATACCTATAACATTGCTTAGTTTCGTTATTTATTTCTGCTTACGATGAGATACGCGTTAAGCTTGATAATATAACTAAATAATTTTTTTCTCGATTGTCACTTTTGAGAAAATGTTGTCAAACGCTTGTGTGTACTCACACGTATTTATATTAGATCATAATTATGTAGAAAATGCAATTTTATGTGTGTTGGTGACGTAAATTAATAATTATCCGATGCGTTTAAAGTAATTCTTTCAACATCAGGTTTTATTTATAAAATTTCACAAAACTTACATATATTTATCTATAGGATGTCAGGTACAAATCCTTATTCTTCATAAAATTTTGTGCTCTCAATTTTTTTGAGCTAAAGCAATGAAAGTCGAATTTTGAACGTAGGAGAGATGGAAATTTCTGTTAAAAATCATACATGTAATTTAATATTTTTACAATAGCATTTACCATTATTATTAAATTTTGACCACATGTAGTTTTGTTAAAAGACAAAGATTGAAAAAAACAATTTATCATATCGTCCATTTATAAATGAAAAAATCAACGAAGTCGTGAACAAACGACACACAACTCAATGATAATTCTAATGGGTGTTCTTTGTCAAACTGTGCTTGGCAACATGTCTTTACACTAAATAGCTTCTCAATTTTTTTCTGTTGGATATTGAGAGTTGATATTTTGTACACTTCCTCTAAAGGTGTGTAGAAGTGATAAACAATTTAAAAGGTTTGACTTTTTAAAAACTTTCAACAAACTTTTGTAGATTGATAACTTTAGAATAATTCTATTTTGGGTTGGATATTTTTGAGCAAATAAAACCAATTTCTTTTTTGCGGACTAAGTTTGCGGCAAACTAGAGCATTTGAGGAGTAACCTTAAATTTTTTGGTAACATTGAATGGAGAATTCTAAGATGAGAATCAAGACTAACAATACTTTTCCGTGATTGTTGTCATACTTTGGGAACTTCCTTAAATATGCAACGAACCTAAGCAATGTTATGGACATACTCATCGCAACATGGTAGCAGCAGACAATTTCAACACGAACAGGGAACTTTTTGTTTACATTCTATAGACTCCAGTTATAAGCAATTAGCTGTCAAACTTTTAGCCCTGTGTTAGCTTTCTTTGCAACCTAATTTTATTCAAAAAGACAGTAACAAAGCTTTTCATCATCAGTGTTTATACCGTTGTGTTGGCTGATACTGAGGTAAGTGACAGAATTTGTTGAAGTTTGGAAAAATACATGTACCTGTCAGCCTCAGTCTCATTTTGCACTCGATCCTGGCTCTTACTATTTAATGCGATCATATCTACCTATCTATATATTGTGTGGTTATCGATTTATACACTGCTAATTTGGCAGTGGGTAGTGGGTTCTTAGATTACAAATACTTCTTAGTTTTTTGCCAAAATTTTTTTAATACATACGTTAAAAAAAAAAAAAAACAACAACAACAACAAAACCAGTCAACCCTTAAGTTTATTTGTTAATAATAGAACATCAAAAAAAAAAATTTTAAGTTAAAAATTTCAATCCCAATTTTTTATTCATAAGAGAAGCATTTAATAAAATAGATAAATAATAATAGATTTTGAAAAGTTTTGATGCACATTAAATACGAAAATGAATTTTATGTCTATTCGTGCTTTAATTATTTCATATCGTGCGTCGTAAATGACGTATGATCAAATGATCACGATATTAAATGAACTGTAAATAGCACACATCTGCGCCAGTAACTGATTGCAAGGAATTTTCTCTTTTCTCGCGGTATTCAGAATCTCATAGCAAACTTTAAAACTATTTACAATGCAATCACCAGCTTATAAGTTTATTGAGAGAAACAGTACATTTTTAGCAAAACAGAAATATACATTTGAAGTACATTAGTACGTACATATAGTACGTACTATTAAATAATCTTTTTATTTTGTGGAACTCATTTTCTCTTCTCGTATGTACAACCTTATATATAGATGACAAAATTTTTTTCCTTTTTCCAATTTGTAATTCTATGTGTTTTTTCAAATGAAATTACATATGGCATTACCAAGCTAAAACCCCTTATGTAATGCCATACGTAAAACCATATAAAACCATATGTAATGCCACATGGCCTTCCTGAAGGTATTACAGAAGTAATCACACATGGAATTCCGTCTTTCTTTTTCAGGTGGGANTTGACTGTATCTCTAGAATTATTGTAACATTAGTATATAATTATGTTTAGTAATATAAAATATCACGTAATACGTGTACATACGCTCTCGAAAATTTTAAATACTACGTGCGTGAAAATAAACAAGTGTGAAAACAAGGATTACGTCTATAGTTTTATATTATATGACATGTTATATTATGTCATGCCTGCTGTTCTGTGTGTATAACAAAACTCTTTGAGAGAAAAAGAGACTGACTGATTGAAGAGAAATTAATCGCGCTCGGCGTCTAAGAACAAGAAATCTTGTACATACAGCTAATATAATTTGAACTTTATTAAGATAAAGAGTGAGAAAGAGAGAAAAAAGAAAAAATATACTGCCACGTCTGTGATTATAACAAATTGTATACAGAAGAGGCGGGTGACTGTGTAAATGGGGAACAGGTTCATGGGATCCAGTCTTTTGTTTAGTACATATAATCTTTTTCACTTATCTTCTTCACGGTTTCAATAAAAGTTGCCACTTTCGCAAAAACACATTGTGTTCAGTATCAAAAAATTTTGTATTCATCGTTTCATTATCCATTTCAAAGTGACTTTTACAATCATCTTCAAGAGAATAAATGTAAGCAACAGTCAAAGCTCTATGGATGATAGATGAACGATCCAACATACTAAAAATATCCTACGACGCTTACTCTTCGTTTACGGTATTTTTGACATACCCCCGCTTTGAATTTTCTTTTACTAGTTTGCCTCCTATGCAATCATAACTGAAGCATAAAACACTATTGTTGGCCTTTCGACACAATGAATTTAATATCTTGAATGAATATAAAACTTGGTTCTACATCAAACTCTTAAGTTAGAGATAAAATAAGTTGAGATTACTTCAAGATGTATCTCCTTCGCTTTTCCTTGAATGAATATGTTCACGTAGAAACCTTGTTTTTCCTCGTGCTGTAAGGATTTCTACAATAAAGGGAATAATGAATCCCTATACTTGGCACAAGTATTTTTTTCGTGATCAAAATCTGGTAATATTATAAAAATCAAGGCTGTACCCACTAATTATTTGATCGAGCAGATTATCAGTGAATAGCTGGTTGGGTAACAATAATTTAGGTGATCCATCTTTCAATTTTAGCTTCCAACAGCAAACAGCTTTAAAAAATCAAACATCCTTGCAGGCTGCCAATTTATCTGAAAATATGCATGGATTTAAAGTGATGTTAACTGCTCATTAAGTGTAGGAAAGAGAATAACATAAAAATTTCAATTTAACCTATTAAATGAAAAATAAATAAGTGTTGGCATAATGTATTATTTCATTTCAAAATAAGAATATCCAAGCAACTCAACAATTAGATTATTTTTTGCTGAGAGCAAGTAAAGTTAAAGAAATTTTGAAGGCTCACAGTATTTATTTCACATTCAAAAAAATACTAATTCTTGAATTCTAAAGGATAATCTTGTGATGTAAGATAACAAAACGAAAACGCAAAGCTTCGTTCAGATGATTTTTCCGTCTTTTAAATTAGCTGAAGATGGTTACCTCGATATAACACACAATAAACTTGCACTGTAACAAC